TGGCCATGCTCTTCCAGCCCACGCTGCTCCGCTGCCACTTCTCCACGTCCTCCCGCCAGCCCGCCGTCGTGCAGTGGAAGTTCAAGTCCTACTGCCAGGATCGCATGGGGGAGTCCCTGGGCATGGCCTCTCCCCGGGCCCTCTGTGTTGCAGCCCTGGCGGGTGGTCTCCAGGTCACAGTGCCCGACAAGAAGCAGGTGGCCATGCTCTTCCAGCCCACGCTGCTCCGCTGCCACTTCTCCACGTCCTCCCGCCAGCCCGCCGTCGTGCAGTGGAAGTTCAAGTCCTACTGCCAGGATCGCATGGGGGAGTCCCTGGGCATGGCCTCTCCCCGGGCCCAGTCTCTCAGCAAGAGAAACCTGGAGTGGGACCCCTACCTGGACTGCTTGGACAGCAGGAGGACCGTCCGAGTGGTCGCTTCCAAACAGGGCTCGACCGTCACCCTGGGAGACTTCTACAGGGGCCGGGAGGTCACCATCGTCCACGGTAACCAAGCCTCTGCTTTGAATTAGGATGGGAGGGACCCTAGTACCAGTCTTCCATGACCCAGGGATGCTGGCCTCCCAGCCTCGCAGCCTCTCCAGACTTTGATTTTCTGGGACATGGGAGCAGCAAGAACCCCATCGACTTGCTTTCATGGGCTCGTGGGGGGGAGCATGTGACAGCCGGAGCAGACGGAGCTGAGCTTGGAGAGCTGTCCTTCCTGACCTGCCCTCCATTTGGAGGGCCTTGCTGTGAGAACCGAAATTAAATAGGTTCTAGCAAAAGAACTGCCTCGGTCAGTCACCTTGACACCAGTCTGCAGGGCCTTTCCTGAACTCAGGAAGCACACTCCTCCCTGGGAGAAGGGCTGCACGCCCGTGGGGTCCTGAGCCAGGCGGCTGCCATGCCACGCCCCAGGTGGTTTTCTCTCACTGCCACCCTTGCTCCTGCTCCCTGCAGCTCTGGACACGAAAGGGCCCTAAGAGTATGATTTGATCTAGTGGGTAATTTGCATTTTGAAGAACTGCTGTGAAGCCAGCTCCTTTGCAGTAGTCCAGGTAATTCTAGAACGTACCTGGCTCTCAGGTACTCTGCACCCGCTCGGTTGCTTGGTCTTCTGTTCCTGGCCCCGACCTGGAACAAGACCAATTCTGCTGGGGCTCCCGGACTCCAGCCTCAGGGATTCTGGGTTTTTATTTTGTACTAGAGGCCCGGTGCATGAAATTCGTGCACAGGAAGGGCGGGGTCCCTCAGCCTGGCCTGCACCCTAACTGCCCCCCACCCCCTGCTGGCCTGGTCACCCCCAACTGCCCCCCTGCCAGCCTGGTCACCCCATGCAGCCTGCTGTTCGATCGTCCATCTGGTTGTTTCGGTCGTAACGGCCCCTGGCTTTTTATATATTAGGATGTTTGTTTAGATAAGTCAAACATCTTGTCAAACACCATCCAGGTAAACAGGACACGCCCCAAGGGCCCCCTCATTCCCACATTGTTTATTGCTCTTCTCAGAGGCCAGGTGTAGGATTGGGTTCTTCTTTTTGTGATAACAGATGCAGATCTTCAAATTGGAAAACTCATGTGGGGAGACAGTGGACTCTATTACTGTATCATCACCACCCCCGATGACCTGGAGGGCAAAAATGAGGACTCGGTGGAGCTGCTGGTGTTGGGTGAGTGGAGACGTGAGCATCTTAGCCACTGGCCGGTTCCTCTTCTCGGTCCTTGCCCCTGCACACAGCCTATATCCTCTACAACCTCACAAAGCGCTTCGGGTGTCCAGTAGTTCTTCCACCTTGTTTCTTGGTGGCTATGGCCCGCTAATTAGCAGTTCCCTGAATGTTTCTTTTGCTCTGTTAGTTGTTTTTTTCTTTCCTTCCTTCCGTTTGCATCATTAACCCAGCTTTATCTGGCTCCAAGCTTTACTTACCTTTTTATACGCTAATCCTGAAGGAACCGCCTGAGGCCCCTGAAGAGGGTAGAGACCCAGGAGAGCTGGGAAATCACTGTTGAGACAGGACCTCTTGAAAATCAGGAATCCTTCCCATTCATTAGCTCCACTTAGGACAATTACGGGAGAGATGGCTGAGAACTGGAGAGCTTAATGCTGAACAGTGCCATTGCAAAGAGCTTCTGGGGAATGTGGCAGCGTTTAATTGGAAGGCAAATTTCTTGAAACCTAGAAGTGCCCGAGTTCTTCTCAAAGCAAATATATATCTAATCCTTATTAATAGCAATTTCTCCATAAATGCCAACTCATTACTTTGGGTTACTGTTCTTCTTTCGTGGACTGGAGGGATGTCAGTGGGGGTGACCTCCTATGAATTTAAAATTGAGCACATATTTCATGCTCTATAAGTATTGGTTGAACAAGGACATTGGAATAAAACATAGGAATGAAAAAGAGAAACCACATGAATTGTAGGGGGAAAGGTAAATACTTAATGCCAGTTTTTAAAAGAAATTATGTTTTCTTTGTAGCTTTCAAGAAACCATGTGTTAACAATTTGAGGGAATATGTAAGGTTTAAAGGCAAATGAGGTTATAGGCTAATTTTCACCCTCCCTGGTAAACTCAGTACCCAGGGAAAACTTGAATTGGCTACTTAGGATTTCGTTTCACTCAACCATGAGTGTGATTTTGGCAACTCAATGGCTCTGCTGCCTTAACTTTATGACTTACAGAATGGATGAAGTAATAATTATTAAAAATCAACTCTTTATTGTGAATAACCAACCCTTATTGGAGGGTTGACTTAATTCAGGTGCATATACCTTGGGCCAGCACATCATATAGCCACACTGCCGTGGTCCGGAAAGGAATGGGATCAGATTGGAAAGGAAATAAAGGAGTAAGCAGCTTCTGTGGATTTTGTAAAAGGACCCAGGGAAGTCAGATGTGGGGATCGGCTGTGTTTTGGTAACTCAGGGGAAGAAAAGATAAATTTCTGCATAATCACACCTCACTAGTGGCCAGGTTAGAAACAGGTGGCCCCGTGAGCCTGCAATTAGCTGACTGTGGACGGTTGTTTGGCCAGTGCCGCCATTGTAAGGAAGTGGTTGCCTGTGCAGGGGAAGCGGCCAGGCAGAACCCACTCTAAGTAGTCCGGCCCCAGTTCCACACGTGGGAAGGAGAGAGGCTGTGCTGTGTGTTTGAAGGGCATTCCTCCGGATCAGACCTGCAAAGTAACTTGGGCAGAGATGCTGTCCTCAGGACAAAAAGGTGGAGAAAGGAAGGCTCAGATGGAAAAGGTTACCAACGATGGGCAAAAAGATGGAGAGCAGAAATCAGTGCTATTTAAAGTGAATCAGAAAGGAAAACTGGGGCCCTGGCCAGTTTGGCTCAGTGGATAGAGTGCCGGCCTGCAGACTGAAGGGTCCTGGGTTTGATTCCCATCAAGGGCCCGTGCCCGGTTGTGGGCTCAATCCCCAGTAGGGGGTGTGTAGGAGGCAGCCAATCAATGATTCTCTCTCATCATTGATGATTCCATGTTTCTTTCTCTCCCTTCTTCTCTGAAATCAATAAAACGAGATACACACACACACACACACACACACACACACACACACACATATAAACAGGGGAGGCCACAACCCAGCCCATCACAGCAGAGGTGACATGTCTCTGAGACAGACGCGTGCCAGGGCTCTCAGGGAGGAGACTCACAATTCCACTATGTCCACAGGAATCAGAAACATGCAGAGCCCAATGCATTTGCCATGTAAACTTTTTAGGGCAACTCTAGATGTGTAGTTATCTAACGGGGTTCCTTTGACAACTACAGGAATATTCTGGGTGCCAGAAAGGACTGTATTTACTTTCCAAATACAAAATTCTGAGTATTCGTGCCTTGACTCCCTTTACAGCGTTTTTCAAAATGCTGTCAGTTCCTAGAAGCCCAGTTATTTGGTGGTGGTACCCTGCAGGCCCATCTGTTAGGTGTTCTTTTCAGGTGCCACCAGGAGAGCATCCTGATTGGTGAGGTCAGCCTCGAGGAGCTGAAGGCCTCAGTGGGAAGGTAACGGATCCACAGTCTGCTTATTTCAGTCCCGTGAGCCACCAGCTCGGTCACTGAACTTGACCTGAGGAGGGGTTGGAGGACCTGGTCCAGGGGAAGAGGACGTGGAACAGGACCCTGGGACGTGTCTCCAGAAGGGACTGGAAGCTTGCTCTGTGTGGCCAGGTAAAATGAGAGCCAGGAGTGGACGTCAAAGGGAGGGGAGTGCATTTCGGTGCAGGGCAGGAGCTGTTGACAGCTGGAGACATGGAAAGACTGACCGTCTTCTTCAGAGCAGTGACTCCCAGTCCTTAAGGGGTTGGAAACTTCCTTATGAGTTACATCAAGCTTTTACGCATAGGAAACGGTGCTTAACTAAGTTACTTCTGAGCTTTGTTCACTTCTAAAATTCTAAAATCTCACATTAAAATGTAGATGAACGCGAGTGATGCGACTACCTTGAGAAAATGACCTCCTAGAAATTCATGGCAGAGATAAAAGGGTTACAGGTTGGTTATAAGGACACGGGGTGATGCTCGTTCACAAAGAAGCCAGGAGGGATGAAGGGTGGGCTTCTGCAGATAGACCAGGGCCAACAGGGGTGATCCCACCAGAATGAGAAGACTCTAGATCAGTGATGGCGAACCTTCTGAGCTCGGCGTGTCAGCATTTTGAAAAACCCTAACTGAACTCTGGTGCTGTGTCACATATAGAAATTTTTTTATATTTGCAACCATAGTAAAACAAAGACTTATATTTTTGATATTTATTTTATATATTTAAATGCCATTTAACAAAGAAAAATCAGCCGAAAAATGAGTTCACGTGTCACCTCTGACATGCTTGTCATAGGCTTGCCATCACGGCTCTAGATGGTGATTGAAAGAGCTGAAATGTTAGGTCTTCTTGGAGTTGATCACAAAATGGGGAGCAGAAAGCTGGTTGGAGTTTCAGAGGACCTATCAGTAAAGACGGATGAATTAGAGGCAGAGATCAGAAGAATTTAGTTTTCTGTTCATACTCACACAGGTGAACATGGGAAGTGGATGGAGCAAGATTGTGAAGTGTCTTATACGTAGGACTGAGACGTTTGAACTTCATCTTGAAGACCATGGGGAGCCAGGGAAGAAACCTTAGCAGAAGAATGAAACTAGATCTTAGGGTGGGAGTATTGATTAGCAGCAGGGTAGACAGTGCATTGGGGGACGTGCTGCGAGAGAGGGGTCAGTCAGGGGCTGCTGGAGAGCACAGAGGGGTGGATGGACAAGAGACAGCATAGAAACATTTCTGAGGAGGAGGAGATGGATCTTGGTGACCAGTGTATGAAAGGGAATGGGGACGGGAATGGGAAAAGTCAGGTCACTGGGACACCTAGCTCGCTGGATAACCAACTGCTCCACCAACTCAGAGAGAGGACACAGTGGGAAGCAGGTTGGGGGGTAGGAGAATGAGTTTGGTTCTCGATGTGTTGAATATGAGAGGCCTGTGGGGCACCCAGGTGGTGTCCCAATTAGAAATATAGGCCTGGAACTCAGTGGAGAAGCGAGGATGGGAGACAATAGATTAGAGAACCATGAGTGATAGTCAGAACCATGAAAGAATAGATGAGTCAGCCAGGAAGATTATATAAAGTGAAGAGGGCCAAGGACGGAACCCATCAGGCATATGTCCTACTTTCACCTCAGGAGAGTGGTAGCATGGCCACTGCCCACGGGTGTGTCTTGATTTCTCTCAAGCAGGGAGCTCCCCACAGCCCGGCCTTGGGTCTGCAGCGGCGCCGACCACCTCTCGTCTGTGTTTGCATCTGCACTGCCTGGCAGAGGGTCTGCAGTAAGGAAGCTTGAGGGCGTGTTTTTGTTTTTGTTTTTTCTCAAATGATAAGTGGGCAGAATCTGTAATTAATACTTACTTTGTTCCTCTTAGATGTTAGTGCTGAGCATTTATTTGTTGACTGATAAAGTGTCAATACAATAAACATCTGCAGTCTCAAGAGAGAACATGCTTTCACCTCCTTAGTCCTAATTCTCCAGCTGGGTATTTACATTATTACTCGCGGTCGATCCATCGGGGACTGTGGTGGAAAGCAACAGAATTACATGCTGCGGAGCAGAAAGGAATTCATTGGAAAGAATTGCAAAGAAGATAGGAAATCCGTCTCTGAAAAGGATAGTAGTATATTAGGGTAGCGCTTGTTAACCTCTGTAAAAGCAGTGCCCAAAGCTCAATGACTTACCACCAGGGAAGTTGGTGACTTCATCTGGTCATAGGTGAGGGTAGGAGGCTCACCCGGACGCTCCCTTCCAAGTGGTGGTGTAAGGGGTCTGGCTGCTCCATGTTCACTCTGCAGCATGGGAGGCCTTCGGTCGCAGCTGCACAGATAGATGGAACGAGGCAGGTCTATGGGACGTTTTAGAGACCAGGCCTGGGTCACTTCTGCTGGTTTGATGTGCCCAGGGAGAGAGTTAGACTGTTTAGATGAACAGCCTAGTCCAGCCGTGGGCAAACTATGGCCCCCGGGCCGGATCCGGCCCATTTGAAATGAATAAAACTAAAAAAAAAAAAAGACCGTACCCTTTTATGTAATGATGTTTACTTTGAATTTATATTAGTTCACACAAACACTCCATCCATGCTTTTGTTCCAGCCCTCCGGTCCAGTTTAAGAACCCATTGTGGC